GAGAGCTGTGTACTGAAGCCTCAAGCCGTGCCGGGCTTGGCTCAAGACTTGGACTGCTGAAGAACAGCAGAGTGAAAAGTGTGGAGCGTGCCCGCTCTGTCTGAGTGCTGTGTGTGAGAGGCCCAGAGGCCCCGAAGGTTCCCTAGACATCCCTCGGAAACTAACGTGGTAGCGGAGCTTCGTGCTCCAGAGCCATGGCAAGCCATGGCCCAGGTGGTGCAGCAGGGAGAGACCGCTCTCCGAGAGGGACACAATGGTCCCCTGCGGGGTCGCGGGACATACGCGCGAAGCCGCGCGAAGCCACGCGAAGCCAGGCGCGAAGCCAGCCCACGCGAAGCCGGGAGAGAAGCCACGCGCGAAGCCAGAAGCAGCGCGCGAAGCCATGCGATGCCGCGCGAAGCCACGCGAAGCCACGCGAAGCCACGCGGAGTCGCGCGAAGCCGCGCGAAGCCGCGCGAAGCCACGCGAAACCGCGCGAAGCCACGCGAAGCCACCTCTTGCGCGAAGACATGCGCGCGAGGCCGCGCGAAGCAACGCGAAGCTACGCGAAGCCGAACAACGCCACCCCCTCGAAGGCAATTACCGTTAGCCTGATGCACAACAAACCACGCAAAGTGCAATTCCTCACTAGCTCGTCGCAATATTTCTGCCTTTGCATTCTACTGGTTTTGCTTTTTTGCTCCTTGCGTGCGTTTGCATTGCACTCCGCTTTCCGCTGCCGCTATCGCCGAACTCGTGCCTGCCGTTTTACCACAGCAGGGCAGCTACGTAGTCAAGGGGCTCAGTTCATGTAGACCATATACTAGCAGATCAATGTATGGCACAGATGAGGAAATGCTGTGCCATCTGTGGCACAAGCAGGACCTCGCACGACACGAATCAACATACACGCAGAGACAAAGCTCCAAGCTACAGCCAGCCAGTGCGCAAGCATTCTCTTAGTTGTAGGTCTGCCAGCCTTCGTCATGGTGAAGCGAGCCGCGAAATGCACGCTGTGCGGTAGAACGCGCTGCCTACGCGAAGTCAAGAAGGAAAGCCTGCTGGAGGCTGCGAAGGCAGCCGCGGCGAAGAAGCCACTTCCGAGGCGGTGGGGGTCGACCTCGTTTGCATCGGGTCTGCACGTTACCTCTTGACAGAACTGTCAAGGTGTGCGAAACTTGTGCGACGAAGCTCTCCCACGCCCTCACGGCCAAGCGCAAATGGGTGACGGCGATGTTTGATCTTGCCTCCGTGTTCTACTGTGAAAGGCCGCGGCGAGGGAGGTCTCTGCAGAGGCCGCCTATCAGGACTCTTTGCAGGGTTTAGGGGTCTTGGTTCATGGGTTCCCGTTGGAGGAGGTGTCATGTCCTTGGCATAATTTTGTCGTTTCTCAGGATCATCCTGGAAGACAGTGACGGGGATCATAATAGGCTAATTTACGTGCGTCGCCGGCAGACTCTCCTCCCAAGTGGCAGCTTCTGCCAACGCCGTTGGCACGCTTACCTCTGGCCGTATCAGGCCATGCATCCCAGGCAGTGTCTTCGATGCAGGATTGCGCGCCCACTCAGCTGGACGAGGACTGCCTTCAAACGCAAGAAGTCTGCCCAGCGGGTTTGCAGGATGCGATCGCTTCCGGCCAGAGCTTCCATTTGCCAGGCTCGAATCCAGCAAGGTACCTCCCTCCTGATTTTGTGCACCAGTGCCTCGGCGAAGAGTTTACGCCTCCAAGCAGATCCAGATCTCCGCCAATGAGCCAGGCTCGGGCTCACATATGTTTGTGTCGGCTTTGTTGCACGGCCGTACGCGCTACCCGCGACCCCTTCCTCCAATGTCGCCCTTGCAGGCCGGCCGCTCAAGACCACATGTCCTGGGAAGCACCGCTTCGACGTCGCGGGGCTCGCCTGTCAATGTCGACCTAAGCCTCTTCGACCGTGCCTGGTGATGTAGTCAGTCGGCGTGGCGATCTGATCTCAATTCGATGTTCCTTCGTGGTGAGGTGGCCTGCAAATGCATCTGCTTTTAACCAGAAAAAGTATGCCTGCAATGCTTTCGGTACGTATGCCGAATCCCTTTAAGACTCTGCAGCAGTGTTTGTGAAGAAGCATCAGTTCTCTAGTTCAACTTTCGGGACAGTTTCTGTTGGTCTGACGTACGCTGACTCCCATGTACACTGGAATCTACGCCACACGCACGCAAGGTGCTTTGATTTGCTGTCGCTCGCACTGGCTCAAGCAAGTTCTTCCGTCTGCTGCACTGTCGCGCCTCTTCGCCCCCCCCAAGCCGGCCTTAAAGGTCTTCTGCGAGTCATGGCCATGCCCCCTACCGAGCCGAAGTGTCAGTTCAAGGAGGACGACGCCAGCGGGTCTAGCCTGTTGCCAGGGTTCCATGATCCCTTAAAAGACATTTTGCTGCCCGGGCAGTGTGCACTCTCTGAATCAGAATGGAAACGTCCTTTGCAGCTTTGCAAGATGCTATAACTGTTTGTATATGCTTTCCATGCACTCTGCAGGAGATGCCTGCTTCTTGGAAGATCGTGGAAGAGAAGTTTGCACCGCGAACAATCTTCCTGGACAGAGGCTATCAGTACATCCTCACCCATGCCATTCGATCATCCAACCACCCCCTGGTCGCGGGCATGACTTTTCTCGCAAGTCAGGCTGCCTTGATGAATGGTGCCTCTGTGGACATCTTCCCAGGCTCCCAAAGTCCGTTGAAGGTCATGGCGCTCCTGGTCAACTACCCGCAGACGCGAAAAAGCCAGAACACTAAGCTCTGCAAGGCATTGAGCGAAGAGCTCGATAAGGCCATCGCCAAGAAGGCCGAGAACCTTGCAGCTGCGGCTTCTGGCGATGCCGGCGAAGACCATGCTGCCCGCCCCAATCGCAGACGGCGACTCGTCGTGGGTGAGGAAGGCATCGGCCCGCCCCCCAAGCAACCTCGAGTCCGACTTGCCAGTGCAGCGATCTCCAGCTTCACACCCGAAGTTTTCTTCCAACGCATTGCCGGTGACTTCCAGCAGGTGGAGAACCTCAGAGACCTAGACGTGGATGAACCTGCCTTGGAAGGTAGTCTGCACTTTGGCCGGGTCGTTAATGTCGACGAAGTCTATGCAACATTTGCTAGCTTCGGTCTCATCGCCGACGACTCGCGCCGCACCTCCGCAAGCCTTTTGGCTGTGAACCAGTATGCTGGTCAGCTGAATAGGTTTTTGCAGTTTGGGGAGGCGTCCAAGGCGACCCGCACAAGGGGTACATATGGGGAAGGCTCCTGCCCTACTACGTCAATGACGTTCCTTGGCAACATGCACCCCGAGATTTTCATTCCCATGGAGCGCGGCCTCGTGGGTGGACACACCGGGCAAACCAAGGAGCGTTTCATGGCTTACTCCGCGTCGCCAATTCCGCCGCATGCTCCGATTCCTGACGATTACGTGGCCCCACCAACCTTTGAGAAGTGGGTTTGGGCAGAGCTGGACCAGGAGTTAGCTGTGATGTGTGGATTGCAGTCAGTCATCGGGGATCCAGAGGCGGCCAAGCGGTTGGCTGCCGATCCGGAGTGCAAGGTCCTGCAGGAACGCTTGGGTGATGTTGCTGTGGAGGAGGCCATGGTCGATGGCGATCGCTATCTGCCGGACAGCCTGGGGTACGACTTTCTGTTGCCTGACGGCGTTCCATCCCGGCTCCGCTTTGAGATTTCGCCTCAAGGAGCGTCGGCAGAGTTTCGGATTGCGAACCGACACCTCCCGCTGCCTCCAGATCATGACTTGTGTGCTGCTGCAACACGCACTCTCACGGCTTTCGCCGCCCCCCACAAAGTCTTGGAGCCGGACGCTGCGGCCAAGAAGTTACTTCAGGCCACATGCACCCTCTGCAACATCAAAGCATCTTTAGCGTCTGAGGCGGGCGACTACGACTGCGCTGCCAGATGGGGTGCAGGTCCATGGAAAGTGGGTGTCCTAGCAGGGCTGCTCTTCGGCTTCGATGTGTTCGTCGGCCAGATCGACCCGGCCACCGTCGCGGCCAGTCCTCGGTTGTCACTTCAACGGGAGCACATCCGCAGGGCGAGAGAACTCCACGGCCTCTTGGAGCATATGCGCGCTGCCTGGGCCGTCAGCGAGAGTGATGCCCTGGCACTGCCCGAGCAAGAGCGCCCGCAGGACCCCGAGTTTCTTGCTGGTCTTGCGCCGGCGCAGGCAAGTCACCTGCTAAGAGAGTGCGAACCTCTCAGCCTCAGTGTTTTCCGAAACACATCCTCGAGAAGATCGTTGCGTCTGCGCTCGAACTCTATCCAGTCGGCAAGGTTGTCAACCCGGGCAAGACTGAAGCTAAGGTCGTCTTCTACAAGCCGCCGTCGCCGACGGACGGGAGGGAGACGGTCGTGGCTTACCACAACCTGCTTATGGATCTTTGCCAGGTCGGTGGGCGCCAGTTCCGGAACCTCCTGATCCAGAATGCCAGCTCCCAGGCTGCAGAGCCCCGGCCTGGGATCGCCGCTCCTGCAGCTGCGCCTGCACCTGCTGCTGCAGCTGCCCCTGCAGCGGAAGCTCCGGCAGAGCGAGAGCCTCGGGAACACTGATCTGTCTGGTGGGCAGCGTACACTTTCATGTGCCCTGCGTGAAGACCCGTGTGGCCTCGCCTTAATCAGTAGACACAGTTGCACGGGCGATAATGATTCTGAACACAATGCAGGAGCAGAAGACTTGTGTCCTATATAAACACAGCCCCGTCTTTTCCTGGATCATAATTGACTTTTCTTTGCGCCCAGACTGCGGGCGCGCAATTCAGACAGCTCCCCGCGGGCGGTGCGGTGTGGAAACCGACTCACCCCAGCACGTGTCAAAAAGTGAGGTCTTCTGTTGCTCCTGCCTGCCACACGCCATTGTTGTCTAGAGTGACCTTGAGAAGCAAATCACTTGGCCTGATCATCCGCATGTAGTCTTCTGTCATCGCGCCCAGCCCCTTGTGATGTTCAAGTTTGCCTCTTGAGATTTTGATGTGTGTCGTTCTGTAGCCGACACTTCCATGGCAGATCTGGTGCCACTGGAATCGGTGCTAAAAGAAGCCGACCCAGCGGGCCTTCTTGGCGAGACTGATGTCCAGTCTCTAGCTACGGCAGTGCGCCGCGCACTCACTAGCTGGACACTCAAGTGGCCGAAGGCAACCTGTCCCGCCTGTGGCCAGCACGTCTGCCAGGTGCCAGCGAAGGCTCGGCAAGCCCTGGTGCTGGGCGTGGATGGGCTTCACAAGGCGCAGCACATACCAAGCAGATGCCGCCATAAGAACTGTGCTCGTCAAGGTTCTTACGTTTGGCATAATTTCACAGTGTTCCAGCGGTGCCATCGGGAATGGACGCTGGTGGACAAGACGCTACCCTCTGTCATTATGATATCTCCGACTTTCGGGATTACTCGCGGCTGGTACATGCAGTTCTCTCGGAGACTCGCTGTTCATTTCTCGTCATTCTGGGGCGAAGCTAAAGTTCACTGGGCACCAGCATGGAAGAAGCGGATTTCTTTCAATCGCTTCAAGCTGCGAATAGAGGAAGCTTGGTTCAAGACCCGTATATTAGTGCGGGTTCTGCAGCTGCCCAGCCCCTGCGCTGACTGTTGGGATCTGTCTGCCACGCTGGAGAAGTCCGTGGAGCGCTTCAAGCCCCAGTACGATGCGCTAATGCGTACACGGCGGCGTGACCAGGCGTGTCACCGTGGCCAACAGGTGACAGGCCTCGTCCTGGATGGTCATGTCAAGGCAGGCCGCCGACGGCGGTGTGGGGTGCCCCTCATCCACGGCCTCTGGTGCAAGCCGTTGCAAGCGTGGTGCCTCACGAACTGTCCCGACACTCCAGCGAGAAAGTCACTGCTGTGTCAGCACCATGCGGAGATGGCGCAAATGGACGAGGCTGACCCGATCCGTGTTCAGATTGTTGACGTCCAGCGGAAACAACCTCTGTCTCAGCGAAAGACAGATTTGCTGGCCGTCCGTGTGAGACAGAGTGGCACTGACCGTCTGCGGCACCATGACCTCCGCAACTGCACTCAAGCGTGGACAGCAGCCATCCAGCAGCACCTCTGCAAATGTGCAGCTTCGCTGCCTGACAGTGCTGCAGGCATCAGAGCTGCTGCTGATGCAGACGGCGATGACCAGTTCCAGGGCACAGTGTTCCACGACGACCTTACTCTGCAAGAGTTGAAGGATCTCACCTGCCGCACGCACAAGCACGGCAGTACCAGCAGCAACCAGAAGACTCCGTGCCGGAACAAGAATGGGGGTTTGCTGGTGGCGTGCCACTCCAATGGTCTTATTCTTGACCTGACGGAGTTCCACGGAGCTGCGTCACTTCCTCAGCGCTACTGCTTTCTGGCACGTCTCAAAGAGACGTTTCCCTCGCTCCGTGTGGTGGTCCACGATGACGCATGTCATCTCCGTCAATTCGCAGACAACCGTGCCACGTGGAATTCCATGGCAGCGAGCCTGGCATTTCCCAACGTGCGCTACATCGTGGACAAATTTCACGCACGTGGCCATGTTGATGAGTGGTGCAGGCTGAACTGCCATCCTGGCCTAGAGGAGAATAAGGCTTGCGTGGAGGAAATCAACACTTCCATCTGCGAGATCACATTTTCATGGCTGGCTCGATTCAAGCAAATGACCCGCAAGATGAACCGTTTTACATACTGGTTTTTTGTCCAGGAAGTAGTGGACGAGCGCAATTGTCAGACACTTGACAGCTGCGCCCCACACAATGCAGCTGTTCAGTTCCCTCCTCCTACAAGAAGCCAGCAAGAGTCCGACAGCGAGGCCGAGTCTGTATCCGACTCTGCCACTGAGACTGGCAGCGAGCATGATTCGTCCAGCAGTGAAACCGGTTCTGCTGCCTGACTTCCCTCGTCTAACGTGCAAGGGGTGCACGACGCCGACGCCGCCTACGCCACCACCCTCTCCAACCATGAGGAAAAAAGCCCATGTCGTCTGCTGGTTTGCCTGCAGGAGACTTTAGGACTGTATAGGAGTATGCAGTGGCCATGTTCATGCTTTACGCTGCAACACCGTTGCAGGCGATGCAAGATCGGCGAGATGCCAGCCGAGGCCAAACCTGCCACCTGCTGAATTTCCAAGTGCAAAATAGCTATAGTAACAGACATGATCCCTGTTTACAGCGCAAGGCGGTACACCACGCTCTCCCCCCGTGAAGAAGCAAAAGTCAGTTGATATCGTGTCTGCGACTGCGAGTGGTTTGCCTGCAGCAGATGGCAGTGCCTGACTGTCAGACTCTATATATATATAGGACTACAGTAACCGGTGGCCATGCTCAGACTTTTCAGACGCTGCAACCTTGCAGCCCTTTATTTGTCGCGACACTGTTACAGGCGATGCAAGCTCGGGGACTCGGGGACATGCCGGGCCGCGCCTTTTCGCCGAGCCGAGGCATGTAAGCCAACTTGACATCTGAAGTGCAAACGCAAAGGACCATAACGAACTGACCGATGTGAGCCTGTCTACGTCAGTTTTCCGCTTGCGGACTAAACCTTTCCACCAAGTTTCAAACATTCTCATGGGAAATGAGAAGGGTTTCGTTTTGTACATGATTTTATTGCATGAAGAATTTTCTTTGACTGTTTTCATGTGCATAGCATTGATGCGAACAATTCATATCCGTTGCAGTCGGCCATCAAGGGCAGAGAAAATTCTTTGGGGCTCTCTAGAGGCTTGTAATCTGCTTCTAGCAGGCCCGGGTCCTCCGTATTCCGGTGTTGCTCTTAGAGCGCCGTGCAAGAGCCCCGCAGGGGCTCGGATGGACCACAACCGTGTCATTTGCCTTCGGTACAATCAAGTACGTCGGCGGCCGTTGTCTGCGCGCCGTGGCCCGCGTGCGGAGGCCCTCATCATCCATTTCTGTGCTCTTGATTGTTCATATACCAGTGATTTGGCAAGCCATCGTAGATTGCTTGCGAACACACCGCGCTCGCGTGTTGCGCGTGACCTGTGTTTGCCTTCGACGACAGCATAGCTTGCTTTGGCGTTGCCCTACAGGGTTCAGTGACTCAGACGATTATTCTCTTGAGAACTGATTGCCCGTACCTGCCATGTCCGGCTTCTCATCTTTTTTAGGGGGAGAGCCCGATGAGTTGTCCATTTCCGGACTAGACCCCGAGCAAGGACCCGAGTCTGCATCTGAATTTTCGGGGGAGCATCGTGGAATCTTTGACTTGCTTCGTGACAGCTCAGAACATGAGACTCGCCTTGAGCCCCTTGATGAGGAGGCTAATTGGTATCAGAGTGTGGCTGATCTGTCAGATGAGCCTGAGCATCTTTGGACTGCAGAGCCCTCTGACTTAGGTGAAGGTCTTGACACCGAGTTGCCTGTGCCTGCTGAACAACCGTGTGAGGTCTGCCTGCCAACTTTGGAGCCTCTGCCTATGCTCTCTCCAGTGAGGTTTCAAGGTCCTGGCTCCGCTGACCCTCAGTTGAATGCCTGGCAGGTGGATGCAGTTTTGTTTGATGTGAAGCGCAGGCGCTTGAGCATTCCAGCGCAACCTTGGAATTCCGGACCTTTTGCCTTAAAGATGCCTGGGATTGGTTTTGCGACTAGTTTCTTGAATAGGGCCAGACCTTCAGTCGGGTTAGCTGATGTACTTAACCCACCACTCAACTCGCCGTTGGGTGTCAGAGAGCCAGAGCCAGTGCTGGCGTGGGTGGTTGAATCTAGGCTTCGCCACTTTAGAGTTGAACGGTCGGACGAGGACTTGAGGGTGCATGCTCTTGCACGAATCCGTACATTGGTCATGCTGGATCCGTTGGCTTCAAAGTTAGGAAGAAGTTTGGCAAGTGATGTCGAAAATTTGGCCACAGAGGAGGAAATTTCATCTTCCTTCTCCCATGCCTTTGCATCCAAGGCTGCAAGCACCATCCACAAGAGGGCTGGGTCATTGTGTAAGTTTGCAAGCTGGTGCATGCGAGAGGGAGCATCCCCCTTGAGGTTTGAAGAGGTGCATCTGTATCACTACCTATGTGATCTTCAGAAGTCCGCTGGGGCTACATCAGGAAGCCATCTGATTGAAGCCCTACGCTTCTTAGATTCGGTGGTGAGTTTGGTTCACATTGAGGTCGAGGAGGTGATGTCGGCCCGGTGCCGTGGTGTTGCTCAGGAAATGCATATGGCCAAGGCTCCGCTGAGGCAGAAGAAGGCCTTAACCAGGAAGCAGGTGGAACATCTTGAGCTCTTCACCACGCGTGCTTCTTCGAGGCATGCCTGCATTTCGGGACAGCTGTTGTGGTGTATGCATTCAGGGTCAAGGTGGAGAGACTCGCAAACCCTTCGCCACATCGAATTGGAGGTGGACGAGGAATCGGGCGAAGTCCTGATTTACGGTGAGGCCCTAACTTCAAAGACAACCTTGACCGCCAAGGCCAAAACCACTCTGCTACCATACGTGGGTGTGGGACTTGGCGTTTCAGGGTTACCTTGGGCAAAAGCTTGGTTCGATGCACGCACTGCTGAAGGCTTGACTGATGTGGATCCTTTTCTGCCCACGTTTTGTGAAAGGAAAGGTTGCTGGGGTTCGCAACGAATGTCAGCGTCGGAAGCCAGCATTTATCTCCGTGAGTTTCTTCAAAGCATGGACCCAAGCTACGGAGAGCTGCGGGAGTTGGGGACTCATTCTATGAAGAGGACTTTGCTAAGTTGGGCGGGAAAGTCCCACCCAGTCACCTTCACTCATCCTGAAAGACGGCTTTTGGGACATCATCTGGATCAGGAGAACAAATCGGTGGTGGTCTACAGCAAGGACGCGTACGTGGCCTTGTACGGAAAGGTCCTTGGGATGTATGCCACAGTTCGTTCCGGCCTTTTTGATCCTGATATGAGTGCTGTGATGAGGATGAAATCCATTGCGCATCAAGTGTCTCGGGTTGAACCTTGTGAGGACGATATTGAGGCAGCAAAGGAACCGTCTCGACGTGAGCCCCGAGGAGAGCCAGAACCAGAAGCCGCTGATTCTGAGGTGGGTAGCTTGAGCTTGGGCTCCGATGAGCCGACCGAGGACCTTCAGGTGCCGGGGGCTGTGAGAGTCAGATCACCCTTCAAAGGGGTGGATCTTAGTTCATGCTGGACGCATAAGATTTCTGGCATAACGCATGTTATGAGAGATGAGCACTCGTTGCTTTGCGGTCGTTTCCTGTCCTCAAATTTTGTTGCGACCAGAGAGGCAGGGATCGCAGGCGTCAACCCGGAGTGTTGCCATCAGTGTAACCGGTGCCTTGAAACTTCGTGAGCTTGAGTATTGAAAAAGGAGCTCGGGATGGAATCGCGAGACATTCTCCGTGACCTGCCGATTGACCCACAGCCGAGTGCGGTCAATGTCAGCGGCGGGGGAGGATCTCTGTGACGCGAGGGGTGCCTGCTTCGTGCAGTGAAAGTCGATGGCACTTGGATTGCAGCTGGTCCACATGCGTCGCATGCAGCCGAGTGCTCACAGGATTTTTACGTCCGTCCTAAACATTGTCAAATCTGGTACTTTCCTGAGGTGGTAGGCTCCTGTGGGCCTAGACTGATTTACGCTTCCATTCTGAACATCGCAGTTTCACGACACTTCCTGAGGTGGTATGCGTCTAGCCGTCCAAGTGATAGGAGAACGCTGGCTGAGCAACATGGCTGCCACGTCCTTAGACTCGGAGGCATCCTTCAAGGAACGGGCCTTGAAGGTGGGGATCTCTACGCCAGTGCTGCAAGAGCTTCTTACTGCGGGATTCACCACGTTTGGCAAATTGTGCTTTGCGGTGTCTGCTAATCCCGCGCAGCTTGATGATACTGCAGTGGACTTATGGGTTCGTAACGTTTTCAGCACTGCCCCATCGCCGTATCAGGTGTCCTGCCTTAGGCGGTTGCTGTTTGAGGCCAACAGCTTGAACATTGCAGACCTGCACACTCGTGTGGAGCCTCCGGCTGATAATGTCGTGCGTAAGCTCCCGGCAGCAGAGCGTGCAGCCCGTGCCCAGGCGCAGCAGGCTCGCCTTCTTCACCCCGGAGACTATTCCGTCTAGTGGCCTGGTGGATCTCTTTGTGGACCAACTGGAGTCCGAGATTCTGCAATATGTAGGGCCTGAGCGTTGTGTTTCAAGGGCCCAGGAAATGATGTCCGTGAAGAAGGATAAGACCATCAACATCGACCAAGACGGCCGTATGCGCATCAATTCGAAGCCCAATGACCTTCGGTGTGAAACCTCTTCTGATGCTAGACTCAAGGCGGCGTGGAACCGCCGATCTCTTGCAATGGATCTAGCAGGTGTGTGCTCATATATAGAGATCGAGAAGTGGGTGCAGCATTTGTTCTCGTGCCAGGCGCGAGAGGTGCCTAAGGGAATGTCGCCTATCAGCGTCAATCAGCTAACAGGCTGACCGTGCCCTCTTCATGTATGCCTCTGAAAAGTTGATGGGTCGGCTTGCTGCTCCGGCCGGACAGCCCAAGCCGCTTGATGACGTCATTCAAGAATTGATGCACTCACCACAGGTCACTCAGTTTCTGCAGCCTGTCCAACGTCCGCCTGACCCTCCTGCCGGTTGGGATAGCAATGCTTGGAAAGGCAAGGGTAAGAAAGGCAAAGAAGGCAAGGACGGAAAAGGCAAGACAGGCAAAGGCACTGGTGCAGCTCCTTCCAAACCTGACATTCCTGAGGGCTGTGTATCTCGAGATGCCGCCAATAAGCCCATCTGTTATGGATTCAACCGCGGCACGTGCCGATGGAAGGGCAAAGCTGGCCGATGCCAGAGAGGACTGCACATATGCTGGAAGGCTGGATGCGGTCGTGCCAAGCCCTACTTTGAGTGTACGCATTCCGATTGACAGGACCCGCGCACGGCTTCTCTTGCTCGGGCCGTGCCGCTCTCTGTGCAAGAGCAAGACTTTTCTACTGCCACTGTCGGCGGTACCCGGACATTCGACGATGCCGAGGCTCTAGCCGCGGAGTGCCTTAAATCGGGGCCTGTTACCCGTGCTCAATTGGGGCGGATCTTTGAGGTTCTTCCTGATTCCAAAGGTCGCCGCCAAGGGGGTGAGTTTTCCAAATCTTTTGTGTCTGGAGCCTATGTCTTTGCTGGACAATCGGGTGTGTGTGGAACCACTCGAACCTATCCGCAGTGCGTCAGGGCTTGCATTTCAGTTCTGAATCATTTCTTGCCGTGCCATAGTTTCACATCCATTGCCCTCTTCTCTCAAATTGAGGCTGATGTGCATGTCGATCGCCATAACTTACCAGGCAGCTTGAACGCTGTCATTGCGATTACAGATTTTAAGCAGGGTGGCTTGGTTGTCGAGGACCCCGATGGTCCCGAACGCGCTTGCTTCCAAGGAAAGGTTGTCCATGGCCGGATAATTCCTTTTCAAAATCACGTCCTTGTCTTTGATGCTCAATCCCAGCGGCATTGGACCCAGGCTTGGCAAGGACGCAGGCAGGTTCTGGTGGCTTACAGCGTGCCCACTCAGGGTTTGTCTGCTGAGGACATTCAATTTCTGCGTGACTTGGGTTTCTCGCTGCCTTCTGCTACGAGAGTTCCGCGACCCGTCCGGGATAGCCGTCCCTGGGCCTTGGAGGTTTTCGCGGGGTCTGCGGTGCTTTCTAAAGCTTGGATCCGAGCTGGGTTTCGTGTGCTTGCCATCGACATTTGTGTTCGGGGTGCACAAGTGCCCATTGCACCTTTGGATTTGACTTCGGCGTCGGGCCTTAAAATTTTCTGGGATCTTGTGGCTAAACTGCAGCCAGAGGCCATCCATGTCGGGGTTCCATGCGGAACCGCTTCTCGTGCTCGTGAGAAACGCCTTCCAGCCAGTGTTGTGGCGGCTGGGGCCCCAGAGCCCCAGCCTCTGAGGGACGCTTTGAATCCTTTGGGCTTGCCGAGTTTGTCTCCTGGCTCTCTTGACGCCCTCCGAGTTACAAAGGCTAACCAGCTCTATGAGCTTTCCCTTGACATTGCCTTGTTTTGTGCCAGCCGCGATATTGTCGTGTCCATTGAAAATCCGGCCAGACCTTGGGCCTGGGCGGCCATCGTTGAGCTCCTGCGCCGCAGGGCTAACGCCTCTGACTGTGCCTGCTTTAATCGCCTGCAATCCGTCATTTTCCATTCCTGTATGCATGGGGGCAGCCGTCCCAAACAGACCAAGCTGCTGTGTACCGCTGACGTTTATGCCACCCTCAGCGCTCAGTGTGATGGGCGGCATCAGCATGAGCCCTGGTCTATCACAGCCAAAGGGGGTCGTTGGCATTTTGCCACTGCCCAAGAGGCGGCCTATCCTGCTCTTCTGGCCGCTCGCATGGCCCGCTGCTTGTTGCTTCATGTGCGTGCCAAACGCCCTGCCGTCCGTTTGGAGCCGACCCTCTCCGTCCTGTCATCTGCCGCTGTGTCGCGTCAGACTCGCAAGCACGCCGCCCTGATTCCAGAATTTGCTCAGGTGATCCAGCTGCCAATTTCTCAGGTTGATAAAGGCATGCGTGTACTTCGCGAAGTCTCATTCCATGGGGAGTGTGCGGGAGACTGCGACTCGAACAACCCTATTGCCGAGGCCCAGGTGCCCCCTGAGGGTTCTAGTAGGCCCCTCCCTAATAAGGGTTTCGTTAAGGTTGGTGTGTATCACACCCCTTCTGCTTTCGTGGAAAAGGCGCAGGCGTTGCAGCACCCATTCGATACCCACAATCCTGTGGCTGCAGTCACTGTGGATGCGATCGACTTTCTGGTGAACTCTTCTCCGCAGCAAGTGACTTTGCACAGGAAGCTGGCCTTGCTTAAGTTACAGCTGCTGATCAAAAAGGGTGAGAGAGAGGAAGCGGAGCTCCACAGCAAGATGCATCCTTCAGTGGCTAAGGTGATGCGGGGTAAAAAGATTTTAGCACTTAAGGCCTTACTTGAACAAGAAGGTTATGATGACCTTGAGGCAGTCAAGTTCTTGACCGAGGGTGTACATGTCATGGGCTCTGAACCCCATCCTCCTTGCTTCGACAAGAAGGTGAAAGCCGCTACGCTAACTGAACAAGACCTGCGGGATACAGCCAAGGAGAGACGGGAAGCCATTGTTGGTGATGATGCACCCGGCGACGCGGCCAAGGCTCAACTCTTGTTCAAGGTCACGCAGGAGGAAGTCGACCTGGGTTTCCTAGATGGGCCGTACACGGCTGATGAAATCTCAAACTTGGTGGGACATGACCAGTGGTGCGTCATAAGAAGGTTCTTGCTGGATCAAGGGTCGAAACATCGGCCTATCGATGATGCCTGTCAGTCGCAAACCAATGCTGCCTACAGCGCTACCATCCGCTTGGAGCTTCACAATGCTGACTACGTAGCATCGTTGGCCCTTCTTATCGCCAAGAAGGCCAAAAACCAAAAGCACGGGTCAGGTGCATGGCTGGGTAAATGCCTCGACTTGACCAAAGCTTACAAGCAGGTAGCATTGCACCCGGATCAACGAGATTTATGCATAACCTACTTCAGAGGACCAGGGGGAGAGGAAAAATTTTTCCTCCCCAATGCGCTGATGTTTGGCGCCACTGCCGCCGTTTTCGGGTTCATTAGGATTAGTCGGTGTCTCTGGTTTCTCGCGAACAAAGTCATGAAGGTTCCATCAGCTTGCTATTTTGACGACTGCCCTCTCTTCGCGCCAGAAGAGGGGGCCCAGGAGGCAGATGAATGCATAAGTCAATTCTTCACCATGCTGGGGTGGTCTCACGCCGTCACCGGCGAAAAAGGCAAGCCGTGCTCATCATCCTTCGATGTCTTAGGACTTACTTTGGACTTGTCGCAACTGCAGAAAGGTTTAGTGGTTCTCAGGAACAAACCCGGACGGGTGGAGAAAATCTTGAGTGAGTTTGACAAGGTCTCTGAACCGGAAGCCATCACCCGCCACCAGATACAGGTCCTCCATGGGCTGTTGAATTTCGCTGCGGGGTTTTATTCCGGAAGGGTGCTGAAACACTTGTGTTATGATCTCTTGGAGTTCCTTGAATGGCGCGGCCCGGTCGCTTTCCAACGGCTCCAGAAGCTTTCGGCACGAGTGAAGCATGTGCTGGAATCGATGCCGCCCAGGGTCTTGTCGTGCAACTTTGCTTGTGAATCAATACTCGTGTGGACCGACGGCTCGTGGGAATCGGGACATGCGGGTATTGGTGCGTGCATCTGGGATCCCTTGAAACAGTGTGGACATGTGCTAGGAGGTGTGGCTCCATCTTGGGCGATTGAGTCGTGGAAGGAGGACTTCGATGCTCGGGATGGCGAGCCTCAACTTATATGCCACATTGAGTTGCTTGTTCTAGTGGCGGTAAGATGGATGTTCCAAGATCAATTCTTGAACAGGCGAGTGATTATGTTCGTCGACAATGACGCCGCTCGGTATGCCATTCTGAAAGGTGGAAGTGGAAGTGACGGGATGAACAACTTAGTCCAATTGTTCGACCTTCCTGATCTAAAGTTTCCGTCTCTGTACTGGATTGACCGTGTACCGTCGAGTAGCAATATAGCGGACGGCCCTTCCAGAGATGACTTCGCTTTGGCACTTAAGTTGATGAAGGCTACTTGCGTGGAAGCCTTCGCTTGGCACGATGAGCTTAAGACTTCAGTCATCACAAGGCGCAAGAGGAAAGGGGTGTGACCGCGCCCAAATCCTCGTGTGCCGATCATCCGAGATCGGGAGGTGCACAATCTTTTAACTTGATGGCCGGCACGTTGAGTTTCCCCTTTGTACGCCTCGAGCGAAAAAGAGAGATGCGCGAATGATTGAGGTCTGTGCCATATTGCGATTCAAGAGAATACATTTATATTACAAAGGATTGCTTCTTCGATGAATAATTGGAGACTGCGATCTTTATGCTTACAATGTGTTCATAGTTTACGAAACCTTTGAAACCCTTGTGGAAGTCAGTTTTCCGCTTGCGGACTAAACCTTTCCACCAAGTTTCAAACATTCTCATGGGAAATGAGAAGGGTTTCGTTTTGTACATGATTTTATTGCATGAAGAATTTTCTTTGACTGTTTTCATGTGCATAGCATTGATGCGAACAATTCATATCCGTTGCAGTCGGCCATCAAGGGCAGAGAAAATTCTTTGCCCGCCCGCCCAACCCTTTCTTCAGCTGTGGGGGGGGTGTGACCGCGCCCAAATCCTCGTGTGCCGATCATCCGAGATCGGGAGGTGCATAATCTTTTAACTTGATGGCCGGCACGTTGAGTTTCCCCTTTGTACGCCTCGAGCGAAAAAGAGAGATGCGCGAATGATTGAGGTCTGTGCCATATTGCGATTCAAGAGAATACATTTATATTACAAAGGATTGCTTCTTCGATGAATAATTGGAGACTGCGATCTTTATGCTTACAATGTGTTCAGAGTTTACGAAACCTTTGAAACTTTGTGGAAAACCCACTCCACCTCAAGCACCCGGCACCGTCATATCTTGTACCCTGTCAGCCAGTTGCAGTTTCGAGCCTGGCTGCAGGCTGATGTGTTTTTGCGCGGCGCCTGCTGCTCGGTGAGCTCGTTTTCCTGCTGTATGTGTACTTCGTCTCGTGCAGCTTAGCAGCGACCCTTCTGTCCTCTGTTCTTCCTTGTCAAGTCCACGCAGGACTTCCAACTCCGGCTTCTGGACTGACGGCCGCGGCTGCAGGCATCGCAAAGCTCTGCTTTGCTAAATAATTATTTTGCCATTCCGAAGGGTGGGTTTTGCAATTCCAGGTTTAGCGTTCCTGGAATCCTCTCGTTTGTGTTTTGTCTGATTTGCCATTCCTGAGTTGGTGTTCCTGCAAGCTTCTGTTTTGCGGGAATCTGGTGTGGCATTCCAGTTTGCCGTGTCGCATTCTCAGGTCGTGTTGTTTGCTATTCCGTAATTTCGTGTCCAGGCACTACCGCTACCGTAACCATCCACGTGTAGTGTAGGTCATGCTTGGAGCTGTGCTAGCTGCTAGCAACAAGTCAAGGCTTTTGGGGCATTAAGCTCATTCAAGCAGCCAAACAAAGTTGTGGCGCAGGGTAGTGTATGGTGACAGGTTTGGTAATTACAGTAGTTATGTTTGGGGGGGCGAGCACAGCAGGCGACACATGTCGTAAAGTAGTTAGGGGGGTTTGACGGAGGGCGCCCAAAACACCCACCACTCCCTACCACCCCCAAGCCCCACCACAACCCCCCGCCCCTTCCCCTTTCCGGCGCTTGGCTTGCCATTCCGGTTGCCATTCCGGTTGCCGTTCCGGTTGCCGTTCCGGTTGCCGTTCCGGGTTGGTTTGCCATTCCGGTTGCCGTTCCGGGAACCGTTCCCCGGGAATGGCAACCAGAGTGGTTTCGGCGGAGGGCCCGGAATGGCTCGGGAATGGCAATGCTTCGAGGCTTTGCCGTTCCGGCATCTGCGGTTTGCCATTCCCGGTTGCCGTTCTCGGCCCCCTTCTGCTGCCATTCCCGGTTGCCGTTCCGGGCTCCGGTCCGCTTCTGTTGACATTCCCGGTTGCCGTTCCTGGGGCCGGTCGGTCCGCCTCTTTTTGCCATTCCAGGTTGCCGTTCCGCCCCACACCATGTATCGTTGGGTTCCCGACCCAGGCAGCCGGATTTGCGGTAGTGCCCCGCCCCCCCCAAAGAGCCTCATACTGGAACAGGATTTGGTTTGCATGACAACCACAAACAAACAGACTCAGACTGCCTCTAGGAACAGTTGGCAGAACGATAAATAGGAATGTCCAAGACGAGCAGCCAAAATGGAATGGCAGTTGGTACATCAAAGCAGGAATGGCAAAGCCAAACAGCAACAAGGAAATGGCCGTTGGAACGCCAAAGCAGGAATGGCAAATCCGAACAGCAACAAGGAAATGGCAGTTGGAACACCAAAACGGAATGGCAAAGCCCAACAGCAAAATTGAAATGGCAGTTGGAATGCCAAAACGGAATGGCAAACAGAACAGCTCGGAACGCCAAAATAAATAATTTACATGTCATCAGTGTGTGCAACAAAAAATCTCATAAGCGTAGCTGCGCCTTCAGGAAATGCGCGCAGCCTGGAAGATGGTGCAGAAGAAGTTTGTGCGCGCGGCCTCGACGGATTGAGTTAGATGCCTTGGCTTGGGTGCTTTAAGCTTTAAGCTCGTCTTGGATTGAAGATGCTTCGCGCTGGTTTGGCTCCGCTCAGCTCGGCTCGGTTTGGCTGAGGCCAGTGGGCTGGCTTGGCTTGAAAACAAGAAGCCCTTGCAGCCCACGGCGCCGGCGAAGCCAGGAGGATCCGTGCGAAGCCGTTCGGAACCAAGCCAAGCCGCGTCAAGCCGCGCGAAACCTATATAGTGAAGCCGAGCGAAGCGTCACGAAACCCGTCCAGGTGCGCGTACCCGCTTGCGAACACAATCGTTTGGACTTGGGTTCATGATTGCTTGTGACTTGCGTGCAGGCTCAACGGATTATATGCATGCCTTGGCTGCATGGGCTGGTATGGCTCGTGGTGGCTGGGGTTGAAGATGCTCCTGACTTTTGGCTTGGCTTGATGCTCTTGACCAAAAGTCTCCTGACTTTTGCCTGCTTTGGCCCGGCTTGCTGTTGTGGCTTTGCTTGCCTTGCCTTGAAGGTGCTCCTGATTTGCAGGCACGCGTCACGGATTACGTGGCGGGCTTGGCTTTTCGCTTGCCGATGTCTTGATTAAATCTGCCCCCACGAAGGTGCTCCGCGAAGCCAGCCCACGAAGCTCGGGAAGCCGCGCCAAGCCCGCGAAGCCCGCCCCCACGGAGCACGAAGCCGCAAGCCGCGCGAAGCCCGCGAAGCCCGCGAAGCCTGCGAAGCCCGCGAAGCCTGCGAAGCCCGCGAAGCCTGCGACGCCACACGGGGCCAGCAACGACCGCGCGCGAAGCCACGCGAAGCCACGCGAAGCCGCGCGAAGCCGCGCCAAGCCCGCGAAGCCCGCGAAGCCCGCGGAGCCCTGCGGAGCCCCGCGGAGCCCCGCGAAGCCCGCGAAGCCCGCGAAGCCCGCGAAGCCCGCGAAGCCGCGCAAAGGCCGCGAAGTCGCGGGAAGCCGCGAGAAGCCGCGCGAAGCCCGGCGAAGCCCCGCGAAGCCGCGCGAAGCCGTGCGAAGCCGACCGCGAAGCCTGCGACGCCACACGGGGCCAGCAACGACCGCGCGCGAAGCCACGCGAAGCCACGCGAAGCCGCGCGAAGCCGCGCCAAGCCCGCGAAGCCCGCGAAGCCCGCGGAGCCCTGCGGAGCCCCGCGGAGCCCCGCGAAGCCCGCGAAGCCCGCGAAGCCCGCGAAGCCCGCGAAGCCGCGCAAAGGCCGCGAAGTCGCGGGAAGCCGCGAGAAGCCGCGCGAAGCCCGGCGAAGCCCCGCGAAGCCGCGCGAAGCCGTGCGAAGCCGACCGCGAAGCCTGCGACGCCACACGGGGCCAGCAACGACCGCGCGCGAAGCCACGCGAAGCCACGCGAAGCCGCGCGAAGCCGCGCCAAGCGCGAAGCCCCGCGAAGCCGCGCGAAGCCGCGCGAAGTCGCGCGAAGCCGCGCGAAGCCCGCACGCGCGCGCGCGCACGAAGCCCGCGAAGCCCGCGAAGCCCGCGAAGCCCGCGAAGCCCGCGAAGCCCGCGAAGCCGGCGAAGCCCGCGAAGCCCGCGAAGCCCGCGAAGCCCGCGAAGCCGCGTGAAGCCGCGCGAAAGCCCCGCGAAGCCGCGCGAAGCCTGCGCGCGCGAAGCGCGCCCCCTGGAGGGACCATACTCGAGAGGGAGGAGCCGTGACTCGAGTGGGAGAGCTAGTCGTTTGAGTTCTAGCCTCTCTGCAAGGTCTGGTTCAGTGCCACGAGTACGTGCGAGAAGTGTACCGGCAGCCAACTCCCCTTCTGCACACCGTCCCAGAGTAGACCTGAGGCCTTTAGCTTCTGCGGGCCAGACTCCGACAGCGCAGGCTGCGCACCAGACGCAGTACTTCAGTTTGGGAACGCCACCACAACAGCCTCCTACGCCAACTGTGCCTCAACAGTTGCCAGTGAACCCTGGAAGCCTTGACGACAACACTGTGAATCTGTTTCGGCAGATGATGCAGGCCCAGGACGAGCAGATCAGGGCTCAAGCGGCCCAAGTGCAGCAGCTCACTAACCTGGTGAAGGACCTGGCAGTGCTTGGTGTGCAGAACGCCAGCCAGACAAGTGCCAGTGCAGCTGCGACCGCGCCTGCAAGCTCTTCGGGTGACACCTCTGGTCCCGCGCCAATGGAAGTTGACACGGGAATCCGCTCTAGAAGGGCAGAGAGCTACATTCCGACTCTGCCTCAGCTGAACTTTGCCTCGATGAACACGAGGCATGCTGAGATTCGGGTTTGGAGTGCTTACAAGGAGGAGCTCACCAGCTGGCTCTGTTTGCTTGACGACCGGTTCGCAGAAGAGCTGGACGAGTCAGAGCAGAGCGCCGTCCCAGTTCAGCAGAGTACGTTGGACGTCGGAAAGGCAGCGCGGTCCAGCAAGCTTTGGTTCTTGCTACGCCAGAGTTTGAGCAAGTTTCAAAGGGCCCAGGACCTCATCCACCTGATCGAGGTTGCTCAGAAAGGAGCAAGTGCTGGATACGAGTTCTGGCGCCTGCTCAACCGAGAGCTCTCGGTCCGTTCGAGGGTGGAGGGCCAAGCGCTGAGGGAGCAGATGATCAATCTTCACCCTCCCAAGCACCTCAAGCGACCACTTGATGTGATGAGGTGGTACATGACTGAGCTCATGAAGTTTGAGTCTCAGGTTGGCAAGAAGTACCCTGAGCTTAAGGTCCACGAGCAAGAAGCTGTTCTGGGAGTCTTGAAGCACCTGGACGAGGACGCGAAGAAGTACCTTTTGTTGCACCAGACCACCAGCGGTCTGGATGCAATGTTGCAAGGGCTGCAGTTTTACGACGAGCAGCTTCGAGTGCTAAACTTCCAGAAGGAGCACCACCACGGCTACCTGAACGCGTTCGGTGCTGGAAAAGGCGACAAGGGTGACAAAGGGAAAGGCGACAAAGGCAAGAAGGGCAAAGGAGACAAAGGGAAAGGCAAAGACAAAGGAAAGGGCAAAGGAGAGCGAGCAGACAAGGGCAACAAGGAGAAGGAGAAGCCCGGAAAGGGTTCAGCTGCACGTGCCAAGAGCAAGGCCAAGAAGACCGACGTTTGCCACAACTGCGGGAAGAAGGGACATTGGGCCCGCGACTGTTGGCTGAAGCAAGCTGCTGCGGTTTCCCCCCACGAGGCCAACGCCACTGTGACGACAGGCGCTGCGGAGAGTTCGGGGAGCGCTGCAGCTGCCAAGGCTGCGCCGAAGGCGCCGAGCAACCAGCCCACTACGAAGGGCGACGTTGGGAAGGGAACAGAGAAGGGCGTCAGAACGTTCCTTGAGGGAGCATACTTTGCGATGCCCATGGTCGCACCTTCCTTCGTTGAGTCGGGAGAGAAGATCTATTGGCTTCTCGACTCTGGGAGCTCGTACCATGTGGTTTCCCAGGCGACGCTTGAGAGTGGACACGTCAAGGTTTTGTCGAGAAAGAAGCGACCGAAGACTGTGTGCCAGACTGCCACTGGCGACCTGGTGGAAGTGGGAAGCGACACCCACGCGACGATCGAGGTGAATTTTCTCACCACTCGACACTTTGAGCAGCGAGGAGGAGTTCTGAGCACCTTTGCGTGCACCTGTCGTCTAGAAGCGGTAGTTAGCAGCGAAATCAAACACAACCTGATAAACCCCTCAACCTCCTCTGTTGGAGAGGCTGGAAGCCTACCCTTTACCGGGGTCTCTTAACAGCGGAACGTAAGGAGGTGACGCTGCTTCCAGCAGTGTTCGGCGACTGCACATGGCTTCAGAGTGTGATGGCTGATTCTTCCGCGAAGCTCACGCTTGCGAGTGTCTCGTCGTCTTGCGGTCTGTCGAATGGTAGGTCTTTTGAGTTTTCCTCACCTGAGAAACAGCATGAGCATGAGTTTTCGCACGATGAGCATGGTTTTTCACAGCATGGGCATGATTTTTCACGACAACAGCATGAAACAACGCATGTTGAACCGAGTGTTTTGCCACATGCTTGCGAGGACTCTGTTGGGCAGTTGGTAGGTCAGTCGTCTTGCGACAGCTCAGGAGTGCAGTTGGTAGGTCAATCGTCTTGCGGCAGCTCAGGAGTGCAGTTGGTAGGTCAATCGTCTTGCGGCAGCCCTGGAGTGCAGTTGGTAGGTCAGTTGCCTGCTAGAGTGGTAAAGCTTTTGCAATCGAGTGCCGTGAATCCATCTTCTTCACCTTTGCGCTCGGGGACCACATCTTCCGATCGAGGCCAGTGGGTGCAGCCAGGTTTTAGTGACTCTTCAGTGCAGCCAGTTTCTTTAGTGCAACCTGCGAGCAGTGATTCTGAAGAGCGTTTGCTTGGCGTGCATGGTCGGTTGGTCGGTCGGTCGGTTGTGCATGACGGTGTGTGCAGTTCGAGCGACAGTGTCGGTGAACAGAGGGTTTCCGCAGATCGCCAAGGCACAAGCTTGAGCCTTAAGGGTTTAGCTGATGAAGGCCAGTGCGAAGAAGGGCTGGACAGGCCGGGCGGAAGCAATGGAGATATCCTCCGACGAGGAGGTAGGGGGGCCACCTGCCCCAAAGGCGACTGGGGTGAGCCTCGCGGACCGGGTCAACAGCTTCAGTTGGACCCCTCCTTATATTGCCCCAGAGGGGAAGTGGTCAAGCCCTCAGGCCCTGAGCCACAACAACCGCAACTACTGCGAGTACTGCATGGTCTGCGGGGAACACGCGACGGAGGCTCATTTAATGTCCGACAGCCACAATCACCACATGAAGTCGTGGATCGCCAGGAACCGCCCTGGTTTGAGGCTTCTACCGACAGGCTTTCCGATCCCGAAAGGATCGATATGATGATCCAGCTTCGTATGCCGGACTTGGCCGAGCCCGAGATCAAGAAGGCGAGGGAGCTAGTTCTCCGACTGGCTTGGTTCAGCAACCAACCGGCGAAGGCGGGTGCCTCAACTTTGCCGCCAGAGGACAACTCGGAAGCCACAGCCAAATCCAGCAATGCACTTCCGGGAATCTGGGCGGAACCATCAGAGCCTCCGCGAGCAGTGGAACGCCGTGTGCTTCCAACAGAGCCAGAGACGCGACGGGTGAAGGCCAGGGGGCGGCCTTGGCCAGACACTCTGGGAGTCCAGCAGCGCTCGACCCAACAACTGGAGGGAGCGCGGGCATTAACTCCACTGAGCGAGGGAGTGGCAGCCCAGGCCGTTTTCACCTCACCTGTCAAGACACCACCAGGGTGGACACCTCCGAATTCGCCTACGGACTCGGAGAACTGGGGTGGTTGGAAGCCAGCTCAGGCTGGCCGCGGGGATCTACAGCCAAAGACACCACCCAAGTCGGTGGATCCGAAGGGGCTCGGGTCTATGATGCCCAAGACGCCGCCCAAGACGGCGCCATTGGAGGCACCTGCGGAGGAGGAGGTGCTTTATTATTCTAGTGCATGTGCTTGCTTTTGCGATTGGAGTGACGTTCCGACCAGAAGGGATGAGTGGACGCGAATCAGCCGGGCATCTCGAGCCGTGGCTAGCTCACTTTGGGTTAGGCCAGAGCGCTGCTCCTAAGCCCTCCTTCTACTCAGATCCGGAACCGCTGACCATCAGCATTGCACAGGCCCTAGCGGAACGGTATGAGGGACACAGTGAAAGTTTTGCTCCGGAGCGCCACGCTCCCGTTGCTGAACGAGCAGTGCGAACCTTGAAAGGGATTGTGTCTTCTCACGAATTACAACTCCGTGAAAATGGTGTTGTCCTCGGAGATGATCCGGGTACTTTAGAGTTTCTTTTTAGATACGCGGCACACGTGCACAATCGATTTGCAGTGTCGGTCGGGAACACCATGTCTCCTTTGCAGAAGCTGCGGGGCCACGACCACAAGCCCCAGTTGACCTATCCCTTCGGGGCTGTCGTTTTCGCAAAGGTCAGCCGTTCTAGCAAAGAGGAGGTTGATACCAAGTATGCCCGCGGGGTGTACCTGGGTCCTGTGCTTGGTTCTACCGGGCACCAGGTGCGTATCCGGCTGGATTCTGGAGAAACCAAGTTGATTGTTGCGCCGGGTCTGAAGTTGCTCTACCCTCTTCGAAACGATGCTTCGTTGCTTGACGGTGCCAGGCCTCTGGAAGGCTTTGTGCCACCTTTGGATGAGGAGCGTTTTCGCGAGCTCCACCTTCCCTATGTGCCGGGAGGGGGACCCTCCAAAGAATGGATCCGCGAGCACGGTGGCACCCCTAAGTGCCCCGGATGCTCCGAAGAGGCCACGTCCTCTCGCCATTCAATAAAGTGCGTCCGGCGCTACCAGCGGTGGCTCCGAGATGCTGTGGACAACGCTCTTGAAGAGCTTGGTCGGGACCCTCCGCCCGCTCAAGGCCCACCGGCCAAGCGGGTTCGATTCGGTGATTCGGAAGTTCGTGAGTTTCCGGCGCCCTCGGCGCCCTCACACCAAGAAGTAGAAGTACCACAGATCAGTGCGGAGGCCAACGACCATCTTAGTGACTACGAGCCCTCGTTGCCCTCCGAGGACGAGGGAGAAGATGATCTGATGGGTGTCGCCGAGGCACCGAAGGATGATCGCCCCGCGATTCGGTTATTGGAGGAAATGTGGGCTTGCGGCTGCGTCCGCTACGTTCCCACTCCCTTGACCGCGTGTGATGTGTATGATTTGCAAGCGTTTTGCTCGTTGCTTGTCGACGGCCGCTCCTCTTGCGATAAGTTGCCGTACTCTTGCATTGCGTTGCTTGAGCATGAGCGTGTGGAGCATGACGTTGGTCGGTCAGGCTTGAGCGTGCCAGTTGGTCGGTCGAGTGGCGACAGCGTGTCGGTTGGTCGGTCGGGCGTGAGCATGTCGGTTGGTCGGTCGGTTGGTCGGTCGGACCTGCCTGCTTGCAATGATCAAGATCAAGAGAAAGAGGGCACATATATGCCCATTGGGGATCGCTGGGTTTGGGTCTCTAGGCCTCGGAGTTCCTACGACGACGTCGATGGAATTCAGCTAGACAACAAAGAGAGCTGGGAAGGAATGAAGACTGAGGTCAAGGCCGTCGACTCTTTGCAAGTCGGCCTCCTTCGTTCCAGGTCTGAAGTTGATCGCTACCAGGAAGAGAACCCAGGGTGCCGCGTGATAAAGTCACGGTGGGTGCTGACACAGAAAGCCCCATGGCTTGTCAGGGCACGCCTCGTGGCGAAAGACTTCGCGCACGGCAGGCCTTCTGCCCTTGATCTTGGCCTCTCCTCGAACACCGCGAGTGTGGAGGCACTCAAGCTCATACTTTCGAGAGCCGCGAAGGGCCGTATGCGGGTTTGGGGTTTGGACATTTCTACTGCGTTCCTGTTTGCGAACGTTGTTCAACCCACTGTGGTGGAGCTCCCGAGCTCTTTCTGCCTAGAGGGCGGAGGCCCCGCGTACTTGATCCTAGAGAAGGCCTTGTATGGCTTGCGCAGCGCGAGCCTGAGTTGGCAAAGGCACCTCGGTAAGATTATGGTCGGCCTGGGCCTCAAAGCCTCGCCGCTCGAGCCCACGCTCTTTAGTGGATGGGTTCAGCTGGGAAAGAAGTGGACGTATATCATCGCCCTAGCTTATGTGGATGATTTGTTGATTGTCTCCGACAGCCAAGAGGGGGTTGAGTTTATCCACAAGTCCCTGAGTGCGGTTTTAAAGGTAAAGGTCACCGGAAGGCTCCATGAAGATGGCCAACTTGAGTTTTTAGGACGGCTTATCAAGCTAGACGGGAACAACATCACCCTTGGGGTGAAACCTGAGTACGTGCGTTCAGTCTTCTCTGCCTTTGGGTGGACCGAGAAGGACCTGGCTAAGGTCAAACCTGTGGCCACAACCCCCGACATTAGGGCTCTATATGATGCTGAGGACCCTGAATCCCCATCGCCCTCTTTGTCTCCAGAAGCCGCGGGTAGGTTCAGGTCCTGCCTTGGGAAGATTGGTTGGTTGACCCAGACGCGCACTGACATCACATATTTCCACTCTATGCTTTCGAGAGGGCAAGCTGCACCAAGGATGGTGCACGAGGATGCGCTAAGGAAATTTCTTCGGTGGTTGGTCGGTTGTCCGTTGCTTGATCAGGTCTTTCCCGCCGGGAGCGGGGAAACTTTGGAAGAAGAGGGTGCCACTTTGGTGGCGTTCTGTGATAGCAACTGGGGCAGTGAAAGTAGCACCGGGAGGAAGAGTACTAGCGGTGGGGTTATCTACGTAGTGGCCGGTTCCCTGTGGTATTGCGTAAAGGGCTACAGTAGGCTACAAACCGTAGTTGCCTTATCCTCTGCCGAAGCCGAACTCTTTGCCATTGCCGAGGCCGCTAAGGAAATTGCCGGTTTAGGTCAGCTGGCTTCTCACATTTGGGGCCAGATCGCCAAGCCCCTCGCTATCTACACCGACAGCGCATCTGCTCGCCAGATTGCCGGGATGGAGGGGTTCCTTCGGAGGATGCGACATGTAGACATCAGACTTTGTTTTATTCAGGATAGGGTGCATCAGAACGAGTTGGTGATTAACGGGGTTGCCGGAGAAGAGAACGTCAGTGATCTCCTCACCAAGAACCTCAACAGGCCCCAGACCTTGAAACACACAACGACCTTAGGATTGGAAGACGTCCACCAGGTTGACCTTTGTGCTGTGCCGGTGGTTCGCTCGTGTGTGTTCCTTACAGGGCTGTTGAATTCGATCTTTGACAACACAGAACTTGAGTGGGAAAGGTTCTTGGGCCTCTGTGAGCTCCCAACCTCGTACGGAACCCTGTTCATTGAGTTTTGTACCGATCCGCAATCTAGCTTTGTGACCACGGGGTGTGACTACTCTGTCTTTGTTCTGCCGGTGACTGTGGAAGTAGATGGGACTTCGCCTGAGACCGTGGAGCGGCTCATGTCAGCCATGGATGTCAGGAGCTGGGGAATGAAGGTTGTTCTTTGGAGCAGCACGCCTTGTACCGGGGGTAGCCCTTGGCAAAGAAAACACTTGCACCACAACCCCCAACACCAAGAGCACTTGCAGGCCCTGTTCACAGTGCACAGAAAGCTTTGGAAATCGTGGTTGAAACTGAACACCCACCCACAAGTGAGTGTCTGGGTGATGGAGTGGCCACAAAGATGCAGCTATTGGGGCTGGCAGTCTACGAAGAGCTTCCTGCGGAGCAGAAGCCACCACGAAGGGCTTGTGCATGGGTGCATGGCAGGCATGGTAGGTCAAGATAATCTTTTGGTGAAGAAAACATGGAAGCTTGTTTCTAACGATGCGGATTTTATTCAACACATGTCTCGAAACTTTGCATGTGATGGTAGCCACGATCATTCACAAATGTTTGACCTTAAAGCTACACAACACTATCCGAGAGCCTTCGCAGAGACTGCTTTGGCCACGCTACGGCTCGGATGAATTCACAAGCCGGCAGGTACGCTTGAAGAGCTGTGCCTCGGGGTCTTTTAGGACCGCCTCTGCTCCTGGACGCGCAGACTGAGGAACGAACGCACAGGACTTTGTCTGTGGCGTGGTCTTCGAAAGGAGGACAGGACCGGGTCTAGGAACCTTACGGTCAAGAGGGGGAGTTGATTTGTGTGACCTCCTAAGGTTCCCAGTGGTTGATTTGAAGCACTTACACTTGCTTTGGAAAATCTTGCACAGTCTTGTTTTGCATGTCATGTGAGTACGACTTGTTTTGGCATGGTGAAAGCTTGGAACGAAACCATTTCGCATGTTTTCGAAACCTTGTTTTGTCGGTTTGTTGGTCGGTCGGTCGGTCCGCCTGTCGGTCGTCCCGCCCGAACCTCAGAGTGAGCTTTGCGGACGCTTGGAGTGTTTGTGAAGAGTCTCAAGCCTGTTTGCTTTCGCCAGAGCTACAGCGTGATGCCTAAGAGGCATCAGGAGCCAGTTCTAGTGTTTAGAGAGCTGAAGCCCAAGTTCGCTGTTAGTGCTCACGAGCTGTGAAGTGTTTGAAGTCCAGAGAGCTGTGTACTGAAGCCTCAAGCCGTGCCGGGCTTGGCTCAAGACTCGGACTGCTGAAGAACAGCAGAGTGAAAAGTGTGGAGCGTGCCCGCTCTGTCTGAGTGCTGTGTGTGAGAGGCCCAGAGGCCCCGAAGGTTCCCTAGAGGTCCCTCGGAAACTAACGGCCGGAGCTTGGTCTTGGCTCCACCTGTTGTTTTGGGCGGCTCAGAGCGACGGCTCTTTGTTGCTCCGGACCGGTTGCTGAAACTCCGTAGTTAGCACTGAACGGCCAACAATAGTGGCGCACACTTGAAATCCAAGTCGCACGATCTATTGGAATTCGTTGCGACCTGGAAATCATCGAAAAGTGTGCTGCGCCAAGTATGCAGTAACTCGGCGTTGATACTCTGCAAACTGCTGTCGAAGAGCGAGACCAGCTGCCTTGCGCTTCTGCGTACCAATGGTGCAAGTATTCTGCTGGCAGCCGAGTGTACGGCCCCAAAAAGCACCGGCAGCAAATGCACCAAAACGCACGTGACGACTTGTGCACAAAATCCTCTGGAATCGTGGCCATCGCTGGCCACCTAATCTGTGTTATGAACCGACGCAAGAATGTGAAATGGCAGAGACCCAGTCAAGCCAAAAAACGGGCTTCCACTTACGCGCCTACGACCTCCGCCGCTTTGCGGCCTATATTGGACTCTTCTTGCTCCGATCAGTCCTGGCTCTTGCAAGGCCCACCGTGGTGGAAAGCTGGGCTTGGGCAATTTTGTACAGCTTGGAGCCAACTCTTTCTCCCCCTTTGGAAAGCTGGATGTGCTCATTTCTGTTGCTTTTCCTGCCCTTGCGAGACCCATGTGTGGGAAGCTGGGCTGTACGCGTGGTGCTATGACGAGGCTGGTTGGACAGCACGGCAGGTACCATGCTGCTTCGTTCGCTACATTGTGCACGATCTGTGGAGACCCTTGCGATGCCCACCTCGGTGGGAAGCTGGGCTGTGTTGCTACTCGGGTTGAGTACTGCGCCCCACCACCTTGGCATGGCCTAAATTCATTTTCTAAAGCACCTACCACTGGGCGTACTCTCGCTTCTCTCTGATGCTCGGATGCTTTGTGCTGCGCCTAAGCCTTCTGTCTTGCCAAAGGGAAGCTGGGCCCGTGCACAGTGAACTGGTCCATGCGTGTGCCATTGCGCAACTCAGTCAGTGTAACTGGGAAGCGGGGCATCTGAGCGGGGTAGTTGCTAGCTTTGCGCATTTTTGCCAAACAACGTCTGCCGGCTAAGTCGCGGCCTGTCTCACCTTTGTTCTATTTTCTTTGTACAGTTTTTTTAGTTCTTGGCTTTCTTGTAGTAAAAAATTGTGTATGCCATTGCGCAGTGGATCCGATTGCACAAATTAAATTTTTGAATGACTTTGCTTTCATCGAAGTCCATTCACACCAAAAAAACTGTCACGTCATGTGGACCTCAGAAGTGTACTTTCTGTTCTGTAAGAACGCATTTTCTGGTGTGGCGCAATAGCACCCAGCCTTCATCGCAGTGGCGTGTTTGCCACCAAACTTCTGTCCATACTCAACTGGCTCCGCTCCCGTGATTCAATGTCGACTACGATCACCCATCGATCTGACCCAGAGCTCCATAGCTCCACGATGCGGGCCCCAAGATCGGTTTATTCGCAAGGTGAGTTAGCACAGTACGCTCAGTTTCAGGTGCCGACGAAGTGCCCGACGAACCGTTATATCGACCACACCTGGTGCCTCCTTCTGCAGGTGTCGCTGGAAGCTGAGAGTTTGGCGCCGATCAATTGGGTCTGTCCAATTCTGGCGCTTGTCTTGTCAGTTCCAGCCCGTGCATTGTCGAACACGGCTTAATGTTGCTAAGACCAAGTCCAGCCTTGAAGGCGTAATGGACTCCGGTGGAAGTGTGACTACGACCACTTTGCACTCTGGTTGGCGGAGAAGCGGTGTCTGCCAACAATGCAAGCAATGACCAGGAGTTTTAGCAGCCTGTGCAGAAGGGCCTCTTTGTGCCAATCGGACAAAGACACTCCATGCTGCTTGCCATCCGCTGCCAGCACCTTCGGCGCTGCGCCGTGTGCGCAGCCACAGCACCGATCGTTGGGAGCTGTGCATTGCCTTTTCCTCCGCCGTCAACCGACTGGCCTGTGGATGCCTGATAAGCAGTGTTCAGCAGGTAAAGCTCGGCAAGAAGCCGGCCGCAGAAATTTGCTATGTGGACAATTCGCTTTGACCACTGCAGCGCACAAGCGTCACCGCCGGGGCTACGCTCTCAGTTGCTTCTCCGACACATTGTGCATGGAATGGAGGTGGCAGCAAGCAAGAGCAGTGGCGGCTGCGAGGCGTTTGCGGGAGCTTTCTGACAGAGTCTCGCGGAGTAGTGGGGCAGGAGTAGCTGAAACTGTTGCTATGAATTCGTTCAGCAGCACGCGGAGTAGTGGGGTGTGGAGTTGGAGTGGCTGAAACTGTAGCAGTTGCTACGAATTCGTGACTCCCTACGACGTTTTGGTAAATCAGATTTGTCAAAGCTGGTTTTAGTTTGAGCAAGTCAAAAAGTCTCAGTGGCCCAGCAGGAGAGCAACCCGCGTGTTTGGGTTTAAACCGCGCGTTTGATGTTGTGCGTTGGGTTTAGCGTTTTCGCGGATGGGATTCCACGCAATGAGACAGAACAGAGAGCCGGAGGCTGCGCAGAGCAAACTCATGTGGGAGCCTCCCGGTTTTCCTGGACCTTGTCTCGACTTTCATTTTGACAGATTTGACGGACTCATGTTCGAGGCCGGAAAACTCTTCGAAAACGTGTGCGCCGCAGGGGCCTCCCCAGTTGCGGAGTATCTTTTTCTACATTCGTTCGATTTCATAGCTAAAGTTTGCTGTCGTTGTCCATGAATCTGCAGCAGCTCAATAAGCGCTGTTGGATGGAGTGGCTGCGTAAGCAAAAAGAGAAACGATGATCACTTTCTTTGGAGTTGAGCATTCAAAAAAAGAGTGAGGAGCGGGCTCAAAAATTGGCCCGGAATTCGGACCCGTTTTTAGTGCCTCTGCATTCTTGGCCCTGCATTTTGGTGCCGGCGAGCCACTTTCGAGCTCATTTTTGAAATCGCACAATCTGGATGCGGAGCGGCCCTTTCTTCAGCAAGATGCAGCCGGATAACTCCAAAGTGTCGCCAGTTAATTTTCTTGAACACGTATTCGTTTCAACCAATCAAGCTGAAACTTGCTGCATTCTTGCCAAGCGCAGCGCCAACAGTAGCAGCTGCGAAGACATTCGAACCACTCAGTGTGTGGCCATTGTGTAAGGGCAAGCTTCATCTCAGAGTCGAGCACTGCCTATGCAAGATGAACAGGAAAGGTTCTTGGCTGAAGAATTTGGCTGCGTTCAGCGTAGGATCGGAGCGGACACGACACACCATCTGCCTGGATCCACTGCCGGTCGGCTTGGAGGCACACCCTAGGTGCAACTTTGGGCCAATTTGTTTTGTCTCTTGAAGACTCGGAACCCTAGCCAATGGAATGTTCTGGGTTTAATCGAGAGCACGGGGTTGAACCCAGATTCTGACCTTGAGGAGAACAACAAATGGCTTGGCAGCGCGTGCAATCAAGAAGTCGAGTTTCGACGCGGACGCACTGCCGACGCAATTCTCAAAGCCAAAACCATTGAGTTGGTGGAGCAGATCGTCCTCGGTGAGAAAGTTGTTAATATTTTTGGGTTCTCAACAAACACCGGAACGGATCTGAACAGGTGTCTTGCTGCAAAGAGCATTTGGGCAGCGGTCTTGAAACTCTTTTGAGTTGATCGAGATCTTTGACTTTTCTGCAAGACCATCAAAGCTTCTTGAAGCTCTTTTCCGAGGAATGGACTTGAGCCAGCTGTGGATTAAAATTCTGTGTAGTAAAGAATCTTTTGGCGTCGGCGGACCTCGGTGGCTGCAGCTGCAGCGCTTGGTCCCAAGAAACAGCAAACGAACAAACACACACACACACACAAAACAGCGGGTGAAACA